CCTTTCCTTTCCTTTCCTTTCCTTTCCTTTCCTTTCCTTTCCTTTTATTTTTTTAGTTTAATTTGGCTCTTGTGTAGACAGTACTTCAGTGCAATTGCTTCCTTTTTCTTTCACTTTTTCCCCTCTTCTAATGAGGAGGACTGGGTAATACAGCCCAGATATGTTTGGATACATTCATGTAAGCAGTCATTTACTGCAATGACATTTACCATTCACTTTGACTGGGAGCATTTCCAACCATGAGGATTTATGCATTGAATACACAACTATTGCTATTGATATTTGCTCTCCAGACAATATATTTTTATAGCGTTGCACTGTGGAAGTACCTAAACACCAAAGTCAAGTCTTTGGCTTATGGTGTTAGGTACTATGCAAACCACTTTTAGAAAGGCTCCCACTATGGGTGTGCTGCAGTCTGAGGGAGTTTTGACAAAAACCTGCAGCAGTGTTTTGCTCACTGTGTTGCCCTGACTGTGGGAGGCTGCTCATTGCCTCTGAGGTTTGGGAGTGTGTGGGGCTAGGGCTGCAGTTTGCATTGTAAGAGCAGAAACTTCACCCTGAGCATTAGGCTGCCCAGCACAGAGTGAGTGAGTTTCCTAATGCAATAGCAGTGTAAATAAAACCTCGGTGCTATTTCATAAATCTGTTTTATTCTTCTTTGCATCATAGATTAATTGCTCAATCAGGAATGTGCACAAGAAATCTGTAAATGCAGAAGGTATGCTTTCTCTGCATTACATGTATCTTACATGCCATACGCAGACTGCTAGGGTCTCCCTTCTACCTGCAGTTTTGTACCGGCTGCTGCTCTCCAGCCATACTCAAGCAAACAGATTATTTCAGAGGTGACATAAAGATATAACAGTCCATGCGGGCTCTGGGGCAGGAGGCAAAGGGCTCAGAGCTGTTGCAGAGCAGTGCTGAAGCAGGTGCAGGGGCAATCAGCCACAGAGTCTTCTTCATTTTAACAAAGATTCCCCTCTGACATAGCTGCAGTTGCAAGGATGAAGTTCAGGGCTCCTTAAAGACAAATATGTGCTTCTGCATTTGCAGTCTCCTGTCAGCTAGTCTTAGGGTGAATATTTCTTCCTTCCTACCACCTCTTCCAGTGGGTTTTACATCAGAGCCCCTAGGGGAGGGGAAAGTAGTAGAGGAAGGGAGGAGAGAGCCTGAAATCTCTGCACTTCCCTCGGCTCCTGCCCTGCCTGTCCTCAAGGAAATGGATCTGCCCAACTCCTTGGGTCAGAAGCAGTCCCTCCTCACTTTGCCTTTGATGTCCTATTAAGGTTCACAGCAAGCTCTAGCAAGGGCTTAAATGTTGGTCCCTTTCTAAAAGGAACGCAAGTGCTGTGGATGGCTTAAGATACACCAAGGCCTCTGACTGGCAGTTCTCGTGCATCTTTTTCTGGGCAAGGGGTATAATTAAGATGCCCTTTTGGTTACAGAAAGGCGAGTCAGCTCCTTGGGGGGTTGTGGTGTCCTGGCTGACTTCCCTGGCCTGCCACCCAGAGGAGCAGTTGCAGAAGGGGAAGGAGAGAGATGAGGTGAGATCATTTGGAGCACTGAGGTGATTGCTTTCAGGGCTAAGCAATGCTGTGTAGGGAAGTGGGAATGAGAGATGGGGAAAGAAGAGAAAAAGGAGAAAAGGAAAAACAAAAACAAAAAAAGAAAAAGAAAGAGAAAGAAAAAGAAGGAGAAAAAGAAAGAAAAAGAAAAAAACTTCCATTAAGATCTGGGGCTACAATCCTGGGAACTGAGCTATTGTTTACCTCCTTCCATAGTCAGCCTGCTTTCTGAACTGGCTACCCTGATGAGCAGCTCAGACCAGATGAGTCCCACTGTTAGTGTCCCTCTCTAATTATATCTAAGGAGTTAACATTGCATCACATTTTCTACTGCTTCCATTACCAGGGACAGTGCACGAATGCTGTACAACAGGCCTACAGGCACTACCTTCAGTGAGAAGTCCAGTGCCTTCTCCTGCCTGAGCTCCCTGTGTGCAGTCCCACCTGCAGGCATCTTCCCTCCTGTTTCACCTGGTACGGTTAGGCTGCAAGGTGCCTCCCAATTCAGCTTCCCTATTTCTCCTCTCATTCCATCTTCTGACCCCTGATCCTCGCCCTCCCTGCTCACCAAGCCCCTTCTCTCCAGCACCTACCACCGGTCCAATGCTACAGCCACAAGGAGCAAAGGGGTGCCACGATGAGGGACATGAGCTTTGTCATCAGCACCTCTTGTCTGTGGTTGAAATGTCAGTACTCGTACAAGAAGCAGAATAGAACCAGAAGAGCCAGCATATTGGTTTCCAATCCTGCACCCTAGAAGAAGGAGCTGGGTCTGAATCCCTGGCCCAGCAGAATAAACCTTTTTTTTTTCACAGGAAGAATCCTAAAGTGCTGTGACAGCCCCAGTTGCACAGACACAAATGATTATTTTCTCTTGACAGACCTGCACAGCTCCCTCTGTGTATTTAACTGCGGTCACAGTGAGCTGGATCAGGAAGGGGACACTTGATATCTGCTGTTTCCGTGGTTGAAATATTTGTGAAGTTAGCGCATAATCTGAAAGCAGAAGCTAATAAATTATAGGGTGCTAATTGGGGCCGGAGTGGAGCTGTCAATCATATTATCCTAAACACACAGAGACCCTCATAACCTAAAAAGGCAAGAGAGGCTCCAGGAACAGCTCCCAGTTGTCACTAGCCATGACCTCCACTTCAGTGAGAGCACAGGGAGCCAAGGCAGAGTTTGTTCTGCTAAGAAAATGCAAATCCTACCCTCATGAGGGCACTTGTATGTGTTTTTGTTTATCTTCTCCGGCAGTGCATTTCCCAGGGCACTTTGTTATTTTGCTTTGCCACCTAGCTTGTTGCTCTTGTGATTTTAAAAAACACACATATCTGAAAAGAATTTGCAACGCTTATATTTGCATAGCCCTTAGAGCCCTTGAGCCTATCTTCTGAAAGTTACTTTATTGCCCACACTTATTTTTCCTGTTTCTCAGGCTCTAGAAGCATTCATTTTTCTGGGATGCTGCAGGGGTCTATGATCAGAGTCAAAACACAACTGTGCAAACATCATAGCAATGGAGCACCTGCAGTTATTTTGTCACTCATTTTCTTGAATTGTTTCCATCAGGACCTTTGCATTTTATTCAACATGTAGCATAAAATTGAATCAAAGACTATTGAAGAGGATTTTAGCACACATTTACCACAGAAATTCATGCCTGTATTAGAACAAGAGGCATTTCAGAAAGGCCTCTGTGGAGAAAGGGTCTTGGAAAAAATCAAGGACAACTCAAAAGTGGGAAACCTTGTTTTAGTGGCAGCATGACTGCTACACACAAATCTGAAAAATGAGCAACAGTGAGGCCAAGCCCTGTTCCTCCCTGGTGACACCTCAGTGATTGCCTAGGTTTGCTGCTGCAAGGCCACATGATTAAGTGCACAAAGACTCTTAAAGATTTTTCTAAGCCTGCCATTTTCCCCACCATTTGTGATACTTAATTTAATCATTTTATGGTAACGCTGAATGCTGACAATCAGCAGAAGTAGTGGATCTTTCCCATTTCTGCTGTGAAAGTACAGCTTCTAGCCTGAAGCCAGCAGACAACTCTGGGTGGGGCAGGCGAGGGAATGTGTTTCACCCTGGCTGGGGTTCATCGTGGCCATCCCCTCCCTGTGCAAAGCAAGACAGCAGGGCTGCCTGCAT